CGCGGAAAGCCACCCCGTCGCTCCCGCCCGGAGCGCGTCCCCCGGGGCGCCCGGTGCCCCGGCCACTCACCAGCACCACGGAGCCCCGCACGGCCTCCGACACGCTCTGCCGGAGCTCGGCCGCCGTGCCGGGCTTGCTGAGCCGCTTGGTGAATTTGCGCACTTCGGCCATGGCAGCGGCGGGCAGGTCGCGGCGGGCGCACTCACTGCCCCGGGCCGGGGCGGCCACGGCCGCGGCTGCTCCCTCTGTTTACCCGCCGGCCGACCGGCCACATCGCAGCTCGGCGGCGGCGCTGCTCCCGCGGCTCCTCCCTCCCCGCCGCGGCTCCTCCCTCCTTCCCTCCTTCCCTCCTTCCCTCCGCTGCTCGCCCGCGAGCTCCGCGTCCTGCCCCACAGCGCGGCCGCTCCCTCCCCTGGAGAGCCCCCGGCTCGGCTCGCGACGGGCCCCAGGAGGAGGGTGTGTCCGGCGAGGAAGGGTGTGTGCCGGGGGAGGGAGGACGGCAGGGGGGGCGAGGGTCACGAGGGAAGAGGGGGGAAGTGGCAAGCGCTCGGGCTCCGCCCGCAGCTGATGTTGCTGGTGCAGCCGCATCCGGGAGGGGAGATCAGGCTGCTTCGAGGAGATCGGGCTGCTTCATTTTTCGTGTGTGTGTGTGTGTGTGTGTGTGTGTGTGTGTGTGTATGGGGGTGGCGTAACGAAATATCTCCAAGTGTGGGGCGTGTTCTACCCCAGTGCCCCTTTCCCGCCCCAGCGGCTGCAGTGCCTGCAGGCGAGCCGGGGGACTCCCGCGTCGCCCCACCCCGCCAGCCCCCAGGGCCGAGGAGGAGGCGAGGGACTGGAAGGAACGTGGAGCGGCCGCCTATTGTGTGCTCCGCCCGGGAGGGGTCGCGCCGCGGTCGGTGGAGAGCGGGTTTCTGGCCCGAGCGGCTCGCCGGGGTCCTCCCGCGCCTACACCGCTTTCTCACCCAGGGGGTCTTGCGCCCGGGGGGGGGGGGCGACCCGGGGAGGGAGCAGGCTTGGGGAGTGGAAACTTGCTGTGGCCGAACCCACTCTCCCAGCCCGCCTCACCCCCAGGAGGGCGGGGGAGAACTGGGTGGCGGGGCCTGAGCCTGTGGCAGGTTGTCTAGTTCTGCGGCGGCTGTGCGCTGGGGCTGGGGTGGGGTTGGGCTCGGGCTCGGGAAGGCCCTGCCGGTCTTCTAGAAGCTTTCACATGTGCCCAGCTATCGCCTCTCCATCTCCTACTCCTCTCCTTATCCTCTTCACCTTCCGAGAAATTATTCTCCAAGAATCAAAGAACATCTTCTAACTAGATGTAAAACAAACATGCTTAAGACAGAAATAAGGATCTTGAAGTACTGGGGACCCAGAAAAAAACTCCCCAAGTGTAAAGTGAGAAGCTCCGCTGACCTTGGCAATTTTCTGTCTGCTTACTTCATTTGTTGAGAGCTTGAAAATGCCTAACAACAATTTCCAGCGAACCGAGCAGCCTTTCTAAGAAGGTTCCTACCACTTTCCCCACTTTGCCTAACTTCAGAGACCAAGCAGTGACACCTACGTAAAGGACTTTGTTAGGAAAACAAGAACGTGGATGATGGTTTCCATGAACCCAGAAAAGGCCAAGTCTCCTAGCAGCAAATCTATTTCAGCAGCCATCCCATTAGTCCCAATAAAGCAGATAGAGGGTCCAAGAGGGCTTGGTCCCCGGCAGTCCTATAAAGGTAGAGGCTCTGTGTCACCAATCTGGGCTTTGCGCAGTGTATGTCTGTAGAATTTGTTCACTGTCGAATGCATGTAGATCAGCACGAATTCACGCCCTACATTCCATGGATGGCTGAGTGGCCCACACTGTTGGTTACCTGCACAGCGCCATAATTCTTTCTCTTTGCTAAGAGACCCAAGGTTTGCTTTGGCTATAGGGCAGAGTCACAGGGCTTGGAGAAGGCAGGCCCCACTCCTGATGAATTAGGGCTGGTTAAAAGAATCATGTTACTCTCACTTTCCTTTACTAGAAGGAATGGACTTGACTCCCATTCAGTTTCCACCAATGGAATATAAAAGCGGTGTGGGAGGAAGTTTCCTGAGAAAGCATTTCCCCCTTGATAAAAAGAGATAGGCAGGGAGACCTCTGTCTCCTTTTCTTTCTGAGAGGGGTGTTGTGATGCATCTGCTCTTGGCAGCCATTTTACAACCATGAGGGAAGGCCAAGATTATCTAAGAGAAGCCAATCCGGAATCTGGATGGCATTGACCTATTGAACCAACCCCAATACCGCCTGCCTCCAATTTCCTTTTTACATGATAAAAGTAAACCCTTTTGGTTTATGCAACTTTTAGTTGAAATTCTGTTACTTTCAGCCAAAAGCGTCCTTACTCCTACAGACTCTGTTGTAGTCACTGAAAGTGCACAGAGTTGGAAAAGACAGGCACTGTTCCCCTTCTGCTGGAGCTTATGTTCTAGGGCAAGCAAAGGGCCATGTTAATTTCAGAACACGATGAATAGCACGCGAGAATTAAGGGGGTGACGTGTGATAGAGAGTAACTGGAGTTGGGAACCTAATTTAGAATAGATGGCCATGGAAGTCCTCTTTGAGGAAGTGAAAACAGCAGTGAGTCTTGAGGGAAAAGAGGCAGCCCCCAGATCAAGAAGTAGAGCACTCCAGAAGGAACGACAGGTACCAGGTCCAGAGAAGGGAGCCCACTTAGTGCATTCAAAGGCAGGGAAAAAAAGGCCAGGGTGGCCGAGACACAGAAGGAAGAGGAGTGATGTGAGAGGCAGCCTGACAAGTAGGCAGTTTCTCCAGGACCTTGTGAGAGGTCAGGAGCATTTGTTAAACTGATGGTTCGCAAACACCATCTGGTCATCTTGCGGGCTCCACACTCATTCCTGAGGCCATAGGTTTCACTTTTTCACTTTAGAGCTTCTGTTTAGTTACATAAACACTGAGCATTGTGCTATGCACCGAGGGAGGATGCAGGATGCATTCAAGAAAAAGAATGGAAGTCTAATAAAGAATGTTTTTATTTTATTTTTTAAAAAGATTTTATTTATTTATTTGACAAAGAGATAGAGAGAGCACAAGTAGGCCGAGCAGCAGTCAGAGGGAGAGGGAGAAGCAGGCTCCCCGCCGAGCAGGGAGCCAATGTGGGGCTCGATCCCAGGACTCCAGGATCATGACCTGAGCCGAAGGCAGATGCTTCACCGACTGAGCCACCCAGGTGCCCCTATTTTATTTTACTTTTTAACACATTATTTTGCTGGTTTATTTTCACTGGACTTGAACATTTTGCTCTGTAGCTCAAGAGCTTCACCTGAGGGAAATATATGAAAGCAGCGGGGTGCCTACAAAATCCTGGGTAACGGTTTTTTGTTGTTGCTGTTGTTTTTTAAATTCAAGTTAGTTAACATATAGTGTAGTATTGGTTTCAGGAGTAGAATTTAGCGATTCATCCCTTACATATAACAGCCAGTGCTCATCCCAACAAGAATGTATTTATGATGCAAGGTAGTATGTAATAAAGACCATGCTTGAGGTTAAGAGGCGGGTGAGATCACATCCGAGTAGGGTCTATGGAAGGCTCCTTGAAGGAGGAGGTGTTTGAGCTGGACCTTGAGGATGAGGACGATCTGGACGTGAATACTCACACAGTAAAGGGAAATTGTAGAGGCAATCCTACAGCTTCAAATAGGGCATTATATTGGGTGATCTCTTTTCCACATTTATTAAATATCTTCAATTTCGGGGCACCTGGGTGGCTCAGTCAGTTAAACGTCGGCCTTCGGCTCAGGTCATGATCCCAGCATCCTCTGGGGGGAGTCTGCTTCTTCCTCTCCCTCTGCCTCTCCTCCCTCTACACACCCCCGCCCCCGGCTTGTGTTCTCTCTCTCTCTCTCTCTCAAATAAATAAATAAAATCCTTTTTAAAATGCCTTTGAACCCTTTGACCTAGAAATTCCGCTTCTATGAATTCATGCCAAGCAAAAACTCTCACAGGTGAACTGAGATGCCTGCATAAAGATGCTCATTGTATCAGTGTTTGTAATAGCAAAGTATTAGAAATAACCGAAATACCCATCCATAAGGACTGTTTTTTCCTCAATCCCTAGACCAGTGCCTGGCACATAGTAGGTGCTCAAAAAATATTTGTTGAGTGAATGAATGGGCGTACGTGATTCATTCATACTAGGGAATTCTCTACAGTTATTAAAAAATAATGAGGTATATATGTATGCACTTACATGGAAAAAGCTCCAAAAGATGTTGGTAAAATGCAAATTGCAGAGGGGGTGCCTGGCTGGCTCAGTTGGTAGAGCATGTGACTCTTGATCTCAGGGTCTTGAATTTGAGCCCCATGTTGGGTGTAGAGAGTACTTAAGAAAAAAAAGTTGCAGAACAATTCTTTTTGTGAAAAAAATAATATATGTGAAGGGGCATCTGGCTGACTCAGTCAGTAGAGCATGCGACTCTTGATCTCAGGGCTGTGAGTTCTAACCCCATGTTGGGTGTAGAGATTACTTAAAAATAAAATCTTTAAAAAAATACATATGCATGTGTATCTATGTCCCTATACATGAGCCAACAGTGGGGGCCTCACGGGTAGAAAGTGGGAGTGAGGAGCAAGGGGCAAGGGGACTCCCGCATTTTATCATTTAAATGCTGCAGACTCTCAAATTTGTATTCCTGGCTGCAACCACCCGACTCATGTATCCAATTCATCATCCCAGCTTGGATGTCTCAGTGGTATCTCAAATTGAGCATGCCCAAGCCTAACTCCTATTCTTCCTCCACAAATCTACTCCTTCTATGATTTCTCCTATCTCAGTATATGACAGTTCTTTACTAGTTGTTTAGGCCACAAACCTTAGCGTTGTCTCTTATATTTCATACACACCCTGAATCTAACCCAATAGCAAATCCTGTTGACTCTGGCTTCAAAGTACATCCAAGATCCAACCACTTGTCCCCACCTCTACCAATACCACCCTAGTCCCAGCTGCCAGCATCTCTTGCCTACATTATTTTAACAGGCTCTCAATGGGCCCCTCTGTAATCCCCCAATGCCCTCCTAGAGTCTATTTGTAACATACCAGTCGGTGATTCTAATCAACCCCTCTACCCGGTTTGTACTTAGAGTGGCCTACAAGATCCAATGTATAGTTATTTCTTGCCCTGCGACA